GAAAGAAAGAAAGAAAGAAAGAAAGAAAGAAAGAAAGAAAGAAAGAAAGAAAGAAAAAGAAAGAGCGAGCGAGCCGAGCCGAGCCGAGCCGAGCCAGATCCCGCATGGCCAACTACAGCCACTGGAGCTTGACAAACACTCTGGGTTATGTATGTGTAAATGCCTCAATCCTGATGGGATGGAGAAATGGAGGAAAAAAGATTGTGGCATGACCAAGCCCCATTGGGGCTCTCTGGCAATCAAAAAAAATAAGGGTTTAAAATCTTTTGGAGTGAATTTAATCTATAGACTACAAAGGACCTATGCACTGAAAACCATACACTATGCTGAAAGAAGTTAAGACAAAAATAAATGAAAAACATCCTGTGATCCTAAGTTAGAAACTAATATGTTAAAATGTCCATACTATCCACACCAATCCCAAATGCAATCCCTAATGAAATCTCAATGACATTTTTTTTTTTTTAGAACTAGGAAAAAAAATTATAAAATTCAAATGGAATCTCAAGGGACTCTGAATTGCCAAGACAATGTTAAAAAAGAAAGAAAAAACTGAAAGCCTCAACATCTCCTGATTTCAAAATACAAAGTTACAGTAATCAATACAGTGTAGTACTAACATAAAAACAGACACATGTATCAATGAAAGAGAACAGAGAGTACAGAGAGAAACTCACTCACATATGACCAAATGATCTTGGACATAGTTGTTAAAATTACACAATGGGAAAAGGGTAATCTCTACAATTATCTTGGGAAAACTAGATATCCATATACAAAAGAATGAAGTAGGATCCTTCATAACACATCTAAAAATGGATTAAAAGCATAAATTTAAGTTCTAAAATTATAAAACTCCTAAAAGAAGACAAAGGACAAGTTTCATAACACTGATACTTGGTAATGATTTCTGGAATATGACAATAAAAGTCCAGGCAACAAAAATAAAAATAGATAAATGGGACTACATCAAACTTAAATACTACTTCATATTACAGGAAACAACGAAGAGTGAAAAGGCAACCCACAGAATGAGATAAAATAACTGCAAATCACGTAACGGGAAAGGGGTTAAAAGCCAAAATTGATAAAGAACTCTTACAACTCAACAATGAAAATTAGCCCAATTTAAAAACAGGCAAAAAACCTCATAGAGGGGTCAGCAGATGACATGGTTGATAAGGCACTAGACTCCCACATGATCAACCATGGTTTGAGCCCTGGACCTGGCAGCTTTAAAGTCATATAGGGCACGTGTGCACAAAATAGCGAGAGGAGAAGAGAAAAGAAAGGATTGTGGAATGGTTACAACCCTGGGGAGTGATTTCTTACTTTCCCTCTCTCTGTATCTCTCTCTCTCTCTCCCTGGTGAGCACATGTGCCCTATGACAAAAATCTAGAAAGAGCAAAACAAAACAAAAATCTGAATAAGCATTACTTCAAAGAAAATAAATAGATGGCCAATAAGTATCTGAAGAGATACTCAATATTTATTACTAAGCATTAGAGAATATAAGAATCAAAATTGTAGTGAAGTATCATTCACACCTATCAAGAGGGGCACAATAAAAACAAAACAGAACAGATAATAAGTGTTGGTGAGGATGTGGAGAAACTGGAGCTCTTATGTACTGCTAGTAGGACTATAAAATGGTGTAGCCACTATAGAACACAATATAGAGGTTCCTCAGAAAACTGAAAAGAGAATTACCATATGATCCAACAATCCTACTTATAGATATATTCCAAAGGACTAAAAACAGAATCTCAAAGAGATGTTTAAACAACCTTGTTCAATGTGGCATTATTCACAATAGCCAAGGGTTGGAAGCAGCCCAAATATCCACAGAGAGATGAATGGATAAGAAAATGTGGTACATATATATACAATGAAACATTATTAAACATACATATAAAAAACAGAAGTCCTGGCACATGATACAACACACATGAACCTTAAGGACATTATGCTGAGTGAAATAAGACAATTACAAAAGGACAAATTTGTGTGCGTGCATGTTCTATTGGGTCCTCAGAAAAGTAATAATACATTTTTCCATAGGAAACAGAAAAATGACTTTTCCGATGACCTAATACTTACACAGGATACCTAAGATAATCAAAATCATGGAAATAGAAAATAGAATATTGGGTCAGCTAGGAGGTGTGATGGTTAAGGCGCTGGATCCCACATAGCCAACTGCATGGTTCAAGTCCCATGCTTGGCTTAAAAAACACACCAAGGGGAATCAGCAGTTAGCGTAATGGCTATGTTGCTGGACTCTCACGTAGTCGACCGCGGTTCGCATCCCAGACCCAGTGGCTTAAAACTCACGCCGGGCGCGTGTGCGTGCGTGCCCAAGATCCCGAGAGGAGAATGGAGGAGAAGGGATTGCA